TCGTATGAATTTGATCAAAATCAACTAATTAATTGTGTACTCGGGTGAAATGGTACACAATACCCAGCTTGCTACTTTATTTAGCAAGTCCTTTTTTTTTCCGTGCCAAATATTTAATTAACGTTTTATTCAAAATAGACGTACAATGTCATTATTTACACGGTTTGATCAGGAAAGTGATCAAGTCTCGATTGCGAAGCTCAGATTAGGTGTACCGATGTACGAAGAACTTGCAAAACAGAGTTAGCATTCCAACGCTCTAGTCAGTATTGATCCGACCTATACTCGAGAGAGAATATAGTTTTACGTACCTTGCGTGAGAGGCGGTGATCTATATTTATAGGGGCGAGCATCGATAGAGCTTTCGACAGCACTCCAACCTCCGACCGCTCGAGAATTGCGGGCACCTTGTCGGAGAGTGTGTCTGGTGCCTTTGCGCCTGCAGGTGCTCTTCAAGGTCTGCTCGTCCCTATTGAAGGTCGGTTGAGTAGTGAGATATAGCTCGGCTCGACTTCAGCTGCCTGTAGTTGTTTGAATGAAAAGATTCATTCGATTCTTCTTTATCATGGTGATTTGATGGTGTCTGATACTGACACGTGGGAGATATAATTTGCTTCCAAATACGTGAAGATCATATTTTTTTTGGCTCTCTCCTTAATTTTAATGTATCTTATCTTTACGAGGTCTTCCTACCCTAGAAGAGTTTTTTATTGAAAAACTTCTTTGTTTTAGTGTGGGATGACAAGTAGGCCTAGGACTCCCAACGATAGTATTATTTTTATCTACATTTTTCTAAAAATAATTAAGTTATTAATGACGGGTTGAAACCAATAAATAACCCTTACGGGCGGAATCATATAAGAAGTCTTGTTTAAGATAAAACCAACTCAATAACAATTCCATTGAATTGAGGATGTAAATTCAGAATTTATGCATTGCGTAATCAAAGTTCATAAAAAAGTGAACTGTTCCAAAAAAAAATTTGAGGATTAGATAGACCTAACAACTAAAGTTAGGTGTTTAACCTTATCTTTTTTAGAAAATTATAAATTAAAACATAGTTTTAATCCTTCGTATTTTGAATATTTTAATATTTTGGCTCTCAAACTTTTGTCTATTATAATTTAGTATTTAGCTAACTTAAGCATTACTCCGACTAAAAAGTTGTGAAGTTAAATTTCCACCCTCCACATGTTGTATATATTAAAAAAAATTATAATTTGAATTTGAATTAATTATGTAACAATGAAGTGATCAATTTGAATTGCTCAACTAATTAAAATATCTATCTTCAGCCACAAGATTGTGAGTTTGAATCCTCACTCCACATGTTATTGTACTAAAATAACATTATTTAATTAAAATTTTTATAAGCAACTAGATAAAAAAAAACATCATTAGGTAAGTGAAAGAAATGACTTAATTTTCTATGATCAGAAATTCAAATAGAGTTCAAATTATATACCCAGACTTATAGACTCAATCGCGTTACATTTCAAGAGTATAGGAGTTAAATCGTTACAAAAAGAGGTTTAAAAATCAAATACCAAATGCCAAAAAATAATTTTTAATAGCTAAACTAGTTGATCTTAAAACTAGCCACAAGATTCCAATATCATTGCACAGTGTAATAACTAGAATTAAAAACTAAAATAAAGATGAACACATCGACCTTAATCTCGTTAGCTTAATGTTACCCTCTAACTATGTACAAAATTATGTTCAATTGTTCGACAGAGAATAGAACACTAATAGAATCTATAGTATATTAAGGACCATAATAATCATCATCGAAGAATCAATGGGCTGATTAGGATCATATGTTGAATTTCTTAATTGAAAGTCTATGGATCTATAACTTAAGATGGTTAAAAATGTCCTTTAAATAGTTTTAAGATAATATTTATGAATAGTAAATTATTAATTAATTTCAACCACAGACGTGTAACAAGAACCAGATAGGCATTTAATTTTCTTCACGGGGCATTTATTGGGTGGTAATGAGAGACGTGAGTTTTTATTTTTTTAATGGAAACAATTAAAAAAGAGAAATTAAAACAACGAACGGAACTCTCGTCGCGTTATAAGCAGGGTTCAAAATGTCGAGAGACATGTCGATGTATCGAGCATGTCGTGGACATGTCATGTCTTTTTTTTCCCTCTTCTTCTTTAAGGTTGTTTTATTTTCATCATCTTCTTACTATGCCACTATAGTCTATAATTTTTCACAGCCTCGATGATTGTAATCTTAGTCTTTCAATGAAACATTCGAATTTTAATACTGTATAAAGTATAACTAATAAGATTTGGAATTTACTTTATTGATAATTTCTAATACAATATAGTCCTTACTTTGAAATATTGACATATATAAAGATTGAAATAATCTTATAATTTTTTAAAAATAAAATAATATTATATACAAATAGTGGTAAAACATGAAGTAGAATATGTAACTTAATTAATACCAAAAAGATGTTCTCGGACGATCTAGTGCACTATCTTGATAATTTTGATATAAATTATAATAGTTCTCCCCGATCATCATAGACTGAAAGTTTTGAAGGTTGTTGTTCAAAGGAGTAGAATATGAAGCACATATGAAACTCATTGATAGATAATTTGGATGAATGGCACAATCACGAGGTTGGGGTGTTTGAAAATTGTGTAAATTTGATTGGAAAGTTGAATTGATGATTGATTTGAAAATATGTTTGAAAAATGTGTAAATTCAAATTTGGAAAGATAAGTAGGTAAAAAGTAAACAGGTACGAGTTAATTAGAATTTAGAAACGTGTTTGGAAATCAAGTCGCTAATTATCTCATTTCCAAATGAATCCTATTATGAAAAACACTAAAGAAGTAGTCAAAAGTTTACAATTAAAGTTTACTTTACATATTCAAATAATTTCCATCAATCTTCATTAAAGGAAAGATCTTTTTTCTATATTTCCATCGACATCAACATTTTCATAAGTAAAATTGTCATATTCTTACATTTAATGGTTAAAGGTGATCAATTATTGGCTAATTAAGCTAAAGTTTTATTTGTCAATTAAAAAAATTTCCATCAATTTCTACAATTTCCATTATTTTTCCTGAAATATCCATCGACATCGACATGTCCATCGACATGTACGTAAAATCGGGACCTCGACATTTTCATCGACATCGATATTTTGAACACTGGTTATAAGTTGATTTTATGGATTAATGTTCGAGGAAAATTTACCATTCAAGTTGAAAATAATTTTTATTTAAAGAAAAACAAAGGTTTTGTCCATTGGTAAAGTTCTTGGATTTTTAATTTTATATTTAAAATAAAAAACTAAATCATTTTAGTTTTTTGAAAAGTAGAAAATCAAAACAAAGGAAACATTTTCCGATTTTTATTTTTCTAAAACAAATCAAATTTTATTATCTAATGTTTCTTATTGACTATACAATAATTATCAAATTATGATTTTATTTTTAAAATTATTAAAATAATGAATAAATTTTTAAGTTTAAAAATATAGTTTTTTTTTTTAATTTTTGAAGGGAAAGTTTATAAATATAATCTTGAAACTTTATAAATAAATTTTATAATATATATATTTATTTATGCAAGAATTGAACTATGACTTTAAAACAGTAATAAATACTTCATCTACTGACAGATCAGATTGGCAGAAAATGTTAGAAATAAGGGTAAGCTCTTATGAGGGGTAAAAAGAAAGAAAATAAATTAAAAAAAAAAACTTGCTTTTAAAGTATTATCTGAAAACTGCAATTTTAGAAGTGTTTTTTCAGAACTTAAAATCTGAAAACTAAATAGGTTATATGATGCAAACTATGTTTTTCAAAAATAGATAAACCAAAAATTAATAAAAATAATTGAGATTGTATGTAATCAAAGTACATCTTTATTATTACTATTTTTTCATTCACGGACTTTATAAGTGATTAAATTTTTATCACTTATTACTCATTGCATATGTACGGATATAAAGATAATGCGCATAATCCAGGTATAGGGGTATAAAGGTCAAAGGGCTGCCAACACTCTGAGTAATAAGAAAAAAAAATCAACTTGGTCAATGAGTTTATGATAGTTTGATAATCCGACCTGAGTAGGATCCGCGAGACACTTATTAACACCTATTAACGTAGCTTGGATGAGACTAAGTTTCTACAAGCTAGACCTACGCTATCGTGCTAGGCACTAGGTAATAGCTATCCCGTATTATTTTTATTTTATAAGGTATTATTTTTTCTAGGAAGAAGTTTGAGTAGGTCGCATATAAGATATTATTTAGTCACATTTGTGGCCTTAGCAATAAGATGTTAGCAATAGCATACGTGTTGCAGCAGGCTACACCAACTTATCATATCTTCTAATTAATATAGTTGTAGTTATAATTAATGACACCACAACAACCATTGAAAACCCACAAATTGCTCATGAACTCCATATGTCTAACTTATCTACATTCAACAATTCAACCAAAATTACATAACAATTTTAATAAAATAACATACCCATTAAGAAATAATTCACTTTCACTTTCACTGCAACATGACCATTTGACCTTTAAGGGTTCGTTGATAACGTTCATGTTTCTTTCTTTTTAATAAAGAATAAAAATGTATTGAATGATTCCAACTTCCGAGAATTCAAATATGATAAAATAATTTTTTTGTTTATGTTTTGGAACAAATTGAAAACGAAAAACAAGAAATGTGAACGTTACCAAACGAATCCTAAATGTCTTAATTAATGGAACTATGTTCAGATTCACTTAATCATTCAAAACATTCTAATTAAAAAAAAAAAGAAGAATATTCGGTAATCTCATAATTTTTTAGAAAGAAAAAAAAACTTGGGTATAAAAAGGTTTTAGAAAAAAGAGAAAAAGACTACTAAAAAAGGAAGCCATCCCATTTCCTCCTTATCTGAAAGGCAACAAGTAAGTCGGGTCGGGTCGATTCGGGATTTTGTGGGTATATATTAGATGTGTGGAGATATATTCCCTCAACATAATAAAGCTTATTGAGAGAGAGAAAAAGAGAGAGAGAGAGAGATGGCGAGTGAAAGTGTTTTGGGAGAGAAGAAGAAGATCGAAGGAACAGTGATTTTGATGAAAAGTAATGTTTTGGATTTCAATGACTTCCATGAATCTCTTCTTGATTATCTCTATGAATTTTTGGGCAAACGAGTTTCTCTCCAACTTGTCAGTGCCATTAATGGCGACCACTGTAAGCTCTCTCCATCTCTTCTCTATTATAAGTCTCTTCCCTCTCATGTCATAATTCTCTCTCTCTCTTTCCGTTCTTTCAAAATTTTTATTTTGATCTCTGTATTTTTAAAATGTTGGTTTTAGTTCTAATTTGCAAAAGTTTAACACAAATTATACATATTTTAATATAGAATTGTAGTTATGTTTTTAGAAATAGGTTGATTGTACTTACTCGTTGAAATTGTGATAGTAAAAATGAGATTAAAAATAAAATTAAGACATCAAAATGATATTTTTTTTGAAGTATATGGATCGAAACGAATTTTTTAAAAGTATATAGACTAAAATAAACTAAAGTTGAAAGTATATGGATCAAAATGAACATTTTAAAAGAACAAGAATCAAAATGATCCAAAGTTGAAAGCACATGCACCAAAATAATATTTTAACATTTTACTTTATTTAGTAGTAATTTTAATTTGTAATGTAATATTCTACCAAAAAAACCATATTTCTCATGTACCTTACTGCTAACACGAGCATAATTCAGTAGCTATAAATCTCTGCTTCATCAATATATTCTTTAAGGGAAAAAAAGTACCCTCTCTCTTCTTGTACAAGTTTCCCCTTTTCTCTTTTCTTTTTCCTAATTCAGTTTTTTGGGTCAATTTCTTAGGACCATTTAATTTTAAAAATATTCTCTTACTAGAACGTCTTAGTTGGTTTTGAGAATGTCTTGAGATTAGTTTTTTTTTAATTAAATAAGAAAAAAAAATAGTATGTATTGTAAATGTTTTTTTCAAATATAAAAGATGTGGGGTGAGGATTCGAATTCTCAACCTCATAATTGAATACATGTGTCTTAACCTACTGAATTAGTTATATTTTGGTTAACATATATAAATAATGGTTTAAATTGTATTTAAATCTATATGGTTAATTATTCCTCATTTAAATATATATATATATATATATACGTATTTTTTGTCTAATAGAGTTTTTTAAGAATAGAAATTACTTTTCTATAGATATGAAATATTAATTTGAAGCCGTAAAACCAAAGTCAACCTACTATATATTAAAAAAACATGATAATTTTAGAATTTCGTGAAACACATTTATTTTGAAAAAACTATATTTTAATCCATAAATTTGATTTAAGTATTACTTTTTTTTTTTTTGTAGAAAAGCTTTTAGTATTACATCAATATTATTTAAAAATAATTAAATTATTTATAAAAAAAGAATTATTGTTTGAAAGTACTCAATTTAGTCCCAGCAAATTTTGTCATTTTGGTCTATAAATGATAAAACCCAACATTTTCACCTACGCGGTATTGAAGACTTGGAGAAGAAGAAAGAAGAGATAAAAAGAAGACAAAATAAATTCCTTCTTTTTTTTGTTCTTTTTTTTTTCTGACAGAATTTCCTTTCCTTTTATTAGTACTTGGAAAAAAAAATAAAAATAAGACTTATGTGAGAGGAAAAAGGACCCACTATTTGCCTAGAAAGACTAAAACCAATCTTTTTTGTTTTATTTTTCTAAAAACAATTATTTTGTTTTCCTTTTTGGTTCAAACTATATGTTGATTACAAGCTTCAATTTGGTATAATTCACTCTTTTTTTTGGTTCTCTTTTTCCTTTGAATATTTGACTTAAAAGGCTCATTTTATGTGAATTTGTATCAATTTCTTCTCTCAATCATGTATATGTTATTTTGTGATATAATTGACATAAAGTCTACAAAAAAAGAAAAAGAAAAAAAATACATATACGGCTTTTTAGACCACATGAATTTAAATTACAATTTGCAAAATTGTTTTTCTTTTTAATTTTCAAAATTATTTAAATTTTGTGACGAAATGATTCACCATAAAATTTTACCATTCTAAATGAATTACAAATTAATAAATTTCATAACTCATCATCTAATTAAAATATATATCTTCCATAAAAAAGTCATGATCCAACCCACGTTTTCTTGTACTAAAAAAGAACAACTTAATAAACTTGTCAACACGAGTCTTGGGATCATACTCCGAGTGGTTCAACTTAATATATCAATTATTTTATTATATTATTTGAACATCTTTTTTTGAAATTTGAATTAATCTTTTCATAATGTTGGGGTTGAAGTTGAAAAAAAAACCATTTTAAAGTCGATATGTTTCTTCTTAATGGGTGGAGGAGGTACATAGAGTTTAAACATAATATGAATCTCTAACATTAAGTTTGTGTTTTTTCCATTAAAATAATACAAGATCTTATTTTCTTTATTCTATAAATTTAATCTTTACAAGGGAAGTACCCCTAAATTTTCTAATGTCACTCGTTTTTCTTTGAGATTGAAGGTTTAAATCTACGCTCCACATGTGTTATATTAATAAACGTTTCTAAAATATGAGAAAAAAGAAAATAACAATATCTTTTTTTCCACTGGAAAGTTATCTAAACACTTTATTTGCGTAACTTTTATTCTAAAAAAGTGTAAAAAAAATAAAAGATAGTCACGACCTTATAAGAACAAAGTATACGTGTCATTAGTACATAAAAATAGTTATGTGGTTAAAACATTTACTCTATTTTAGAGAGTAGGATGAATCAAGTAACATGAAGATGGATGTATTAGTTCTGATTTTTTCTCTTTATTTATATATTTTTGTAGCAAACGGATTGAGAGGGAAATTGGGAGAGGCAGCTTATTTGGAAGATTGGATTACTACAAGGACTCCATTAATAGCTGGGGAAGCTGCTTTCAAAGTTAGATTTGATTGGGATGAGGAAGAAATGGGAATTCCTGGTGCCTTCTTCATCAGAAATGATCATCACAGTGAATTTTACCTCAAATCTCTCACTCTCGAACATGTTCCTGGCCATGGAAGGATCTACTTCCTATGCAACTCTTGGGTTTATCCATTTCGCACGTCGAAAAAGAATCGTATTTTCTTCGTCAATCAGGTTCGATTTTTCATTTTTCTAGGTTAAATATATCGTTTCCTTCACATCGTGATTACCATTTTTAAAGTAAAGGGAGTAAAATAGACATTTTGAAACTTTAGGAACTGAAATAGATTAGTTAATGGTTAAAATAAATATTTTGATAGTTTAGGATTCCTTGATAATGTTTTTATTTTTTTTCTTCAATTTTAGAAAATAAAGTAAAATGAATTGATAAAATAATATTTTTATTTATATTTGGGAGGAAATGAATAGAAGGTTGTTTTGGCCAGAAATAAAAACTTCTAAAACTTTTATATAATTTTGAGAAAGTTCTAAAAAAAAATCCTTTTTTTTTTTACACTTTTTACTTTGTCCAATGAATGTTAAAATTTGTTTTTTTTTTCTTTCTTCAGAAGGTTGAAATTGGTTTACAAGAAGACGTAATATTTAGTATATTGCTTGAAATTTAGAAGATAAATTAGATCATCAATGATAAGAAACTCGTCATCTTTCCTATGTATTAGAAAACTTAATCTTTTAAAGTAGCTTAATTCCCTCTCTAAATTTCTAGAATTTATTGAATATGATATTATATAGATTTATCATCGGTTAATCTTACCGTTAACTATGGAGTATAATTAAAAAAAGTGTAAAAATATATTTTTAGAGACTAAATTTAAAATTTAATATCTTTTTTTTTTTATTTGTCATTTGGATGTTTATTTGCATTTACAGACATATCTTCCCAGCGAAACACCAGAGCCGCTTCGCAAGTTCAGAGATGAGGAATTACAGAGCTTGAGAGGAGACGGCAATGGCGAACTCCAAGAATGGGATAGGGTTTACGATTACGCTTTCTACAATGATCTCGCTGATCCAGATAAAGGTTCAGAATACGCCCGTCCGGTCCTCGGCGGCTCCACCCAGTATCCTTACCCTCGGAGAGGACGAACCGGACGACCGCCGGCGAAATCAGGCAAGAAACTCGAGATCTCTTCGCCCTTTTTCGTTTAATTTTGAAGGAAAATTAGTGATGTGGATTCAATTTTTCATAAATCTATCGAAATCGGAACCGGAATCAATCCGTAGCCGCCTAGGGTTCAACTTTTTATTTGGTATATAGTTGAATTTGTTTTCTTTACAGATCCCGAATTTGAGAGCAGAATACCACTTGTTAAGAGTTTAGACATTTACGTTCCAAGGGATGAACGATTCGGTCACTTGAAGTTGTCCGATTTCCTTGCTTATGCGCTGAAGGCAGTTTCTCAGTTTATCAAGCCTGGGCTTGAAGAACTGTTTGAAGGCACTCCAGGCGAGTTCGACAGCTTCCAGGACGTTCTTGATCTGTATGAAGGAGGATTTCCGGTGCCGGAAGGTTTATTTGAAGCCATTAGGGAGAACATCGCTGCACCTTTGCTCAAGGAAATTTTTAGAACTGATGGTGAAAGGCTCTTCAAGTTTCCTTTGCCTCAAGTGATTAAAGGTACTTCATCTTCATCTCAATCTTTAAGTGGCTGGTATAAGTTTGGTTTTTCAACTTCTATTTGAATACTTTCTCTGATCCTGTACTTTAACTTTAGAATATGTAGTTAAACGAAATCAGCGAGAAGAATCTATAAGACACAGAGTGGGAATTTTAAATTTCCATTAGAACGTTTTTAAAGTATAGTCACTCTAAACCTATTGGGATTGTTTTATAATGCAGGACTAAATAGACAAGATCCTTGAACGAGGACCAAACTTCTAATTTAATCTTAAAAAGTTGTATGAAAAAAGTAAGAATTTAAAATTTCCAAAGGGAAAGATAAAGATTATATATAAATAGTTAGAAGGTAAGATTTTGTCCTATGTGAAAACTTTTTGGCTATACCTTTGCTGCTGGCAACTTATATTTGGTGTCTTGTTGGCTTAACTTTCTGATGCTCTAATCATGTTGTAACAGAGGATAGATCAGCTTGGAGGACCGATGAAGAATTTGGTAGAGAAATACTGGCGGGAGTAAATCCTGTAGTCATCCGTCGTCTCCAAGTAATCTCATAAATCTATTTTCTATCTCCATCAACCTAATTTTTTAAAATTGTTGTTGTTCTTCCAATCCATTCAAATTCTTAAAAGTTAATTATTTTGAGAGAGAAAGGAATAGAAGGTGGGGAGTGAGGATGAATTCAAAACATTATATGAAGTAAATGAAATCAGAATGGCGTGTGAAGAGAATTGCTTCTGGGTATTCCTAGAAATTTGAAAAAATCACTACATTTTTCTCAAATTTATATATATTAAGAGAATGTTTCCCCTTGTTGAATATTCATGCTTTGAATTGCAGGTGTTTCCACCAACAAGCAAGCTTGACCCTGAAGTTTATGGTGATCAGAACAGCAAGATAACCAAAGAACACATAATAGACAAATTAGATGGACTTACAGTAGAAGAGGTGAATTGTACATCATTGAATGCAGAATCCAAAAAATAAAGTTTTATTTCTTGGAAACTACGTGCTTTATAATTAACATAACTAACTTTATTTCTGCATTCTGATTTCTTGTAAATTTGGTGTATTAGGCAATCAAGAGAAATAGGTTGTTTATATTGGATCCCCATGATTCACTGATGCCATACCTTAGACGAATAAATACGACTTCCACAAAGACTTATGCGAGCCGAACCATACTTTTCCTCAAAGAAGATGGTACACTAAAGCCATTGGCGATCGAACTGAGCTTGCGAAACCCTCAAGGAGACCGATTTGGAGCGGTTAGCAAGATTTTCTTTCCAGCCGAACAAGGGGTCGAGAGTTCAATTTGGCAGCTAGCCAAAGCTTATGCGGCTGTAAATGACTCTGGTTACCACCAACTCATCAGCCATTGGTATAACTCAGATTGAACAATTGAACATAGTTCTAATCAAATGGATTTTTGCATGTAACTTTATTGGTTTCTTGTAGGTTGAATACTCATGCCGTAATTGAGCCGTTTGTGATTGCTACTAATAGACAACTAAGTGTTCTTCATCCAATTTACAAGCTGCTCCATCCCCACTTCCGAGACACCATGAATATAAACGCATTTGCTCGACAGATACTCATTAATGCAGGTGGCATTTTGGAAGCAACAGTTTTTCCAGCCAAATATTCCATGGAGATGTCAGCTGTTCTATATAAGGACTGGATTTTTCCTGAACAAGCACTTCCTGCAGATCTCATAAAGAGGTAAAGATATTACAATCACCCAATAATAGCCCAAACTAAACATTCATATAATAGTGGTTATTGGGCATTAGTTTGTGGACAGATTTTAAGTTGCATATTCTCATACTTCGCATACCAGTCTTTTAACTTGTTCAAGATCTTTGCTTCGTTTAGAGGAATGGCAATTGAGGATTCAAATTCTCCACATGGACTTCGTCTCGTAATCGAGGACTATCCATATGCTGTCGATGGGCTCGAGATCTGGTCAGCGATCAAGACCTGGGTTACAGATTATTGTTCTTTCTATTACAAGACTGATGAAACGGTACAAAATGACTTGGAGCTGCAATCTTGGTGGAAGGAACTCAGAGAGAAAGGCCACGGTGACAAGAAAGATGAACCATGGTGGCCTAAAATGCAAAACGTTGAAGAATTAATAGAAACCTGCACTATTGTCATATGGATTGCTTCGGCTCTCCATGCAGCAGTGAACTTTGGACAATACCCTTATGCAGGTTATCTCCCGAATCGACCAACTATCAGTCGCAAATTCATGCCCGAAAAAGGCACTCCCGAGTACGAAGAACTTGAATCAAACCCCGAAAAAGCTTTCTTAAGAACGATCACTGCACAACTGCAAACTCTTCTCGGTGTCTCGCTGATAGAAATATTGTCGAGGCACTCGTCCGACGAGGTCTATCTCGGCCAAAGAGACTCGCCCGAGTGGACTACCGATAAAGAACCATTGGAAGCATTCGAGAAGTTTGGAAAAAAGTTGGCTGAAATTGAAGATGGAATCATCAAAAGAAATGGAGATTTGAGACTGAAAAACAGAGTTGGACCAGTTGTGGTGCCTTACACGTTGCTTTATCCAACTGGTGAAGAGGGGCTCTCAGGCAAAGGAATCCCCAACAGTGTCTCCATCTAAGGCTCTTCTTTGAATAAGGTAATAAATAATTGGCTATTGCAGTGTAGCTGTATCTAATAAATATTGATGATTTATTTTATAAACTAGAATTACATTAGTGGCTATTATTAGATCTTTTTAATATTGATTGTTTATCTAATTTGTAATAGTTGTGTAGGAGGAATTTCAGTTTGGTTCCTAAATTTTCAAATATTTTATTTTAAGTTCTGTAACTTCGAATTAAAAGAATCGTTTTGGCCTTTGTCATTAATTTCAGTTTGGTTTCAAAATATTACGAGTTTTGAATTTAGTTTTTATCTCTTTCAAAATGTTAGTCTTTTTACTCTTGGATTTTCATCAATGCTCACTTTTGAGTAACTAGAATGCTGACTAGGATGCTGGCGATCCATTTCATATTAATTTACATAAATTATATTCTTAAGTAGTAAAAATATTTATATTTAGTTTTTCAAAAAAAAAAAAAAAAATTATATTTATAACATTTCAGTAGGTAATGTGGTAAAAAATAAAAAAAATATTATCGCTTTCCTCCACCCATTCTCTCTCTTCTACCTTACTATTTTTTTACCATGTAAGCATGTAAATAATATAAATTAATATTAAATGGATCCATTAGCCATTTTAGTCAACCTTGCGTTAGGGTGATATGTCAGGGACCAATGGTGCGTATGAGTGAAAACTCAGAAGTATAATATATATTGAAATCTAGAGTCAAATAGAAATTAAACTCAAACCTCATGTAACAATTTGAAAGTGTAACGAATAAATAAAATTGAACTTAGAAAATATACTTTTTCCTATGAAGTATAAAATGTGTTCATTTATTTAAATTAATAGTCGCTACAAGAAACGGAGGTTTCAGCGACGTATTTTAGCGACATATTAGCAACAATGTCACTAAAATGTGGTTTCAGTGACATTGTCAACATAAGGTATCATTGAACATTATTTTTAGCGACGTGTTGAAGTATATGTCGTTGAAAGTAATTTTCAGTGACACGCGCGTTGTCGCTGAAACCATTTTCAGCGACGCCGTCAACAGAATATTGCTAAAAGTGTATTTTCAGCGACGCTGTTAACGAAATGTCGCTGAAAATGCACTTTCAGCGACGCTGTCAATTGACATATAAGATTGTGAGTTCGAATCCCATCTTCAACATGTTATACTAAAAAAAAATAGTCGAGGTATGAATGTAGATATAAATGTTTTTGGAAGTTGCATGCGATGATTAGGGGTTGAGTTTCCAAAAGTATTTAGGTTAATTTAGCATTGGTTTATTTATCTAATCAATAGATATTTATTGTACTAAAAAAATCAATAGATATTTATATATGGACAAGTATTTGAAAGAGGTAAAAGGTTATTAGATGTCGAGTTTTCAAATATGTTTAGATTCTTGTTAAATTATTATAAAAAGACTAATGTTAAGGACTATATTTTTTTAATGTAAAGTCCAAAAAGTAAAATATAACATTTGAAAAAATCAAAATAGATAGTTCAAACTTGTTAAAAAATAGGAGTTAACATTATTATTATTACTATTTTTATTTTTTAAATTTCAATAGTATTGTTTTTATTTGTTTTTGAATCCAACACCCATTACTATAAAATTGGGTTTTAATGACATTAAATGTCATAGGTTGATTTAGTGACAATTTTAAAAGTCATTGAATCGTCCATCAAAAATAGAGAACATGATAGTTAATGAAAATCTGTGACTCCTACGTTAAGAGTGAAAGTTAAAAAATGTCACAAAATCAAAAACACATTTCATAATAGTTTATAATAGTCAATAAAACAATTAAAAGATACGTGCTTCAGTAAGTGTGATCAAATTTCAAATTAAAGATTTTTTTTAATACAACACGTGAAAGTGAAGATTTGAAATCAAAACCTTTAGATCACAGAAAATACCTTAATCAATTGAGTGACTACAATAATATGTAACAAAAAGATATTTGTGATGGAAAAAAAAACATGCACACACATTTAAATCACATAGAGATCTCTAACTCAAGGAACAAATAATTTTGAGAGAGTGATAGAAAGAAAGAGAGATATTACAAATGTGTTGTGATTTCGCAATAGCTTTGGTTCTGTCTCATGGTTCATTTGGTTGGAAAGGAATAATCGTCCTTTTGCAAAAAGTCTATAGATTAGTAGCACATATATAGGACGATATTCGGATAGCTACGTCATCTTGGTCGTCTAAATCAAATTTTTTTTTTTGTTGTTGTAATTATAGCATTTCCTCCCCTCTAAACAGTAGTGCATTCACTTAGCCTCCTGGCCATGTATATTATTTCTAAAAAAAAAGCAAACAAAACAAAAAACTCTGTTCCACGACCTTTTTATTTTTTGTTTTCTATTTTTGAAAATTAAACTCAAGCCCCATCTATTTATGTATTCATTTGTATCGTAATCTAACTTTTTGAAAATATTTCTAAAATTTAAGCAAAAATTTGAAAACCAAAAGAAAGTAGTTACAACAACTCATTTTTGTTTCAAAAATTTTGCTAAAAACTCAAATATATTTTAAAAGAATGGTAAAAGCATAGAAAAAAAAAGAGAAAATAAACATATTTTTAAAAATAAAAAAATAAAAATAAAATGATTATCGAAGGGTATTGAATATACAATGCATTGGTAGGTGAACTACAATGAATACCTAACATGAGAGTGCATACACAATTTCTTATTCGATTTGATGGTTGAAATATTTTATTTTCTCTTTTCAGCTACCTTCATTTTATTCAATTTTATCTTTTTTATTTGTTAGGTTTTGTCCCTCTGTTAGGAGTGTTATTCGATTCTTATTTCATCCTGTAAATTTTTTTCCACGAAATTTTGTTGATATCGGGGTGAAAATTTCCTGTGGAGAACTCGTAAAGATCCGCTTCCAATGAGAAATTATTCCTCGTTTGTTTATTATTTTTTAGTAGAAATTTTCTATCTAAAGATTCCTCCTTTTACGCCTTCATTAAATTAGGGGACCATGGAGCATAGTTCCCTTTATGGTTTAAGAATTCGTGATTGGCTGACTTTTGTTTGTTTGGTTATAGTTCATGTCCACTAGTCATGAACCGCCGCCCGCCCGCCCCGACGTGGAGTCACAATTCTTCCTATAGAAACCTCCTTCAACTGATTTAGTCCGTAGGAAAGTAAGATGTCTCTCCTGCAAGCCGAAACATTTCCTTTGTCTTGAGTGTGTATATAATATATATAACTAAAAAAAATAGACGAGGTGAGGACGGAGAAGAGGGATTAAATGGGAAACAACCAAATATCATACAATGTAAAAAAAAAAAAAAAGAAAAAGGTTTATTTGTGTAAACTCACTCCCCAATTCCTTCGTTTTGCTTCACCTTCTTGTCCAGATTTTTCACATTTTCTGTAATTTTGCTGTCGTCACGATTTTAACAGCCACGTGGACATTTTTAATTTAAGCTACCAATCACGTAAGGGTAGATCCAAACATTTTGGAAGGTCAAGAATATTAATGCAAACTTTTTAAAATTTAAGAGACAATGACGAAAGTTAAGAGGTAGAATTAAAAAACCATGTGAATAAATTGGTAATAGAAATTTAAACGTGAAGAATTTGGTCACAATATATTTGGTTTTAAGCAGTAATTGGTCAAGAATTTGGCAATAAAGAGTGTTATAAAAGTTGACTACTTTTAGGTGTAGAAAAATGCATGTGAAAATCGTTGTATTAAAGGGTGGCAACAATAACCCTTTCTTTGTCATAATTATTGTCGGTGAGCTTAGGGAAAAAAAAAAAAACTTCAATTATTGTTTTGAAGTGGTTATTTGGAAACTTAAAATATATTATCTTTCATCCTCATCCAATCTATCATATAAAGTTAAAAACGTGATATTTTAGGTTCAATTATATCATATAAATCGAACCAATTTATTATTTTCATCCAAAGATCTAATCTTTGGATTCAAATATAGCTCAATTAATTAAGATATAAATAAAAATTTTATGACTTAGAAGTTTAAATCTTTAACTCCAATTTACTCTTTTTAATTAAAAATAATAATGAACTTATTTTCTCTACTATGTTAAGAGAATGTCAAATTTTTATTTGGAGGTTGTTCCATCATTGAAGTCAGAGTRTGGGACTGAGCCTTCCGAATGATAAAGACAAAAAAGTGTTTTGTTTCGTTGGAAAAACCAACGCAAATATCATATTGATTTTCTCTCGCCCTACTTCTAAGAAAAGCGCTTGTTCTGATGGGCCCCCTTATGTTCCTGTATAAGTAACATGATAGCAGTTCGTTATTCAATGGTTTCGGGAGGCTCCTTTCATACAAAAAGAGTTGACCCGTGATCTACGACCACCCTCTCCCCACCCAAGAGTGAAAATACTACCCCTGAGGGTGGCCGTAGATCACGGGCCTCTAACTTATCTACGGAAATGCTGCAAAATGAGAGATATTTTGAAAGATTAATGAAAAATAATATAAACTAAAGAATTTAATTCTATAGGAAGATACTCATGATCAATTTTCTTACAAACAATATTATATTCTATTGAATTTTTGTAATTGATTTTTATTTTCTTCAAGGAGTTTGGCAGAAAAGCATTTTTAGGCACCAAACCTGAAAAGTGGATTTTCTAATCCGTTTCTTTTATTTATTTTAAGCAAAAGTTATGCAGAGGATCACGATTTGAAATTATTGTTTATCTTTTTTGGTTTAAATGAGTCCACGTCAATTTTAGTTTATTTTAATCTTAATATTTTTAAAATGTCTATTTTGATCTTTTAAAAAAGTAACTATTTTGGTATCTATTTGTAATTATACCATTTTAATACAAATATATGACTACATTTCAATAATTTCACGGAAATGTTATGCTAATATTTTTATTAAAATAAATGAAATAAAAATAAAAAGGAAGAAAAAAAATTCACTTTTCTAAAATTAAGGAATCAAAATGAAGAGTGCATGAACAAAAACTGAAAATATAGACAACAAAATAGAGGTTTTAAAATATAGAAATCAAAATAAATCAAAATCGAAAATATAGGAACTAAAGAAGTATTTAAAACTTGTTTTTTCGCCGACATGAACATATCTCAGTAGTAATTTTCAACCTCCCATATCCCAAATACGGAAAAAAAACTGGTTTATCCAAAAAATTTTCTTTTTAAAGATAATGTTTTGGGACGAGGACATTGCTTCTAATTTTTATATTTCTATTTAATTTATTGACTGAATATTTTAATCTTAAAATTTTAATTTCTATCCCATTCAATTTTGAATTTAAATAAGTAGTAAAATGAGCTGTACACAAACAAATAAAATAAAATCAATACGTTGTTGAAGCCCAAGCCAAACTAGAAAAGTACTGATGAAGCAATCGATAAATCTCACAAAAATCTCTACCAGAGCAAACGTATCCTAAAACGAAACATCGAAAACTATTCATAAAATCAAACTTGAACACAACTCAAATAAATAAGATACCTGTTTTGGACCCAACAATCGTGATTTCAAATTTTCATTTTTACTGGTTGAACTAAATAATAATAATAATAATAATAATATATATATATATATATAGTCATAGTTCAACTAGTTAAGACACTATCTCCGACCAAATTAAAAGAACTTATGATATTAATTATTTCTGACACTTATTCAAACTAATGAAATTAAAACTTAAAAAATTCACTCCATAAAAGAACATAAGGAATATCGATTATTTTCTCCCAACTATGTTCATATATTTGCGTGTGAAGCACATGGAGAAAATTTTCAATCCCCAATAATTTGTAAATTATTTTATAATTTTATGTATTACTTATACTTCACTTTTTACGCAATTTTATATTATAAATTTTACAACGTCAAGTTTGTTGTATACTCATAGGGAAAATAGTATTCAAAAAGAAATATATTATAATGGCAACTGACTAATTTAAATATTAAAGAAAAAACTAGAGGTTCTTTGTGATTGTCTTCACGATCTAATTAATCGATTATAATATATTGAAATCATTATCAAAATTGTGAAGAAGATTAGACTAAAGTTAAGAACAAGATTTTGGTAGAAACAGATCTTTTTTTCTAATATAGATATATATGAATCTTCAATCTTATCTAACAAGAACAAATCGCTTAAAATAAATAAATAAGAGATTTTACAAAAAATATATATAGTTCAAATAGTTGACTTGCTTCTAGGTTTTTAAATTCATAACTTGGGTAATTTCATCTTTCAAAAAATTCTTTGGTCTGATTAATTTAAAATATTGTTTAGATTGAAAGTAGAAAAGATGACTTAGATCAAAACTTGATTCATGAACTGTATTCTCTTTTTGGAGTGAAACACAAATGATGTATTGATAGAATCTTAGCCTTCCACATAGCTCTCTCGTCAGGATGGGCTAGGCAAATTCACCTCTGACTGAATCAGTGAAGTGAAAACCTAGCTCCACGTTGACTAGAAAACACGGATGCCATGGGCATAAAATCTACTGAATACTAGATATGAAGTGTTGGCAGAGAGAAACATTTTGCAAAGCCCTACTATAAAATATAGAGTTCATTCCTCATAAAAGTACAAAATTTCTACCCGACCAAACTAAGTTCGGGTCAACACCAACTCAAATTAAGTACTAACTTATTTCAGAGGGTAAATGATCAAATAACATACTATCGCAAAGTTCGGATCAATTGTTGATTAGACATCTACCTCATATAAGAAACCAATAACCTATTGCCTCGTCCATAATCATAAAAAATGAAAGAGATAATCTAAAAAAATAAAGACGATAATGGAACATTGAAATTAAGGGTTAAAATAAAGATACTAAAAATATAATTTAACCTAATTTTCAAATAAAAAAAAGCATACATCACTTCTCAAAGAAAACGTTGTCTGGCCAAAACCAATATGATATTTTTCCTTCTAGGATCGAACAAATTATATGAAAGAGACATATTATAATTTTCTTTCCATCGAATTTCGACATATTATAATTTTGTTTCCATCGGATTTCTCGCACTTTTCTAGTATGATTTCAAATGTTTCATTTTAATTTAATTCTGGGAAAAAATTTCCATTTTTAATTTACATCTTAAGCTTCTAATTCACCTAGAAATTTTAACAAAAGATAATGTAAAAAACTCAATTCACCAATTTAATGAAAATCCAGCTTCGTCCATACAAAATCAACTATTAAATAACTCTGTGCAGCTTACAAATATCAAATAAAAAAACCAGTTCTAATGTTATTATGTTTTATGACTCATTGGTGTTCGATCTCAATGATTATTTAAACGAAAAATTTATCATAAACTAAAAATTACAATAATTTTTAAATTTAAAGGAGATATTGCATCATTTATACTAAAGTTTATGGTTTTTACCTTGTCAATTAGTTGAGAGGACCCAAAGGTTTAAATGTTAATCGAAATTCGCAAAAAAAAAAATGTCAACATCAATATGTAAAAAGTAAAAAATTCATAAAATAAATTTAAAATTCTTGTTATTAATATCATGAGTTTATTTATAAAATTTTTTAATACTTAGCCGATTCTTTTAGGATACAATGGAAATATAAATTCACTACTTATATCCTATCTATGAATATATGAAAATGTGAGAGTAAAGAATGATATATTTCCTTTTTTTTTTATGCAGAGAAAAAAATTCAAAAGAGCATTGTCATGAATCATGATCACGTGGGCATTGATGGAGCCAACCAGTTTAGAAAATAGAAAGTCAGATTTCAAAATACTTAAAGATGATCTCTTCTCCCACAAGGCCACCCAAATATTTAATAAATTATTAACTAAGAGAGCTCAACTTTTATCTCAACTTTATTTTCATTACAAATATGGCAAATAGGAGAGGGA